CCCTGCCGCCACCGCCCCCGCCCCCCGCACTCCCACCGCCGGCGCCGCCGCCTCCGACGGCTAGCGTGTAAGCGGAGCAGCCACTTTTTGCCGCGCGTGTCCTGCCTCCCCCGACATCTTTTCATGGGCCCTTTTTTGGAAGAATTGCCCTCCATTGAGGCACCGGAGGGGAGGCGCGCTCGCCCTTTGTGTCTGCGCGTTCGCTCATGACCCTTCCCCGACTCCCCGCCCTTCCGCGCTGTTCAGCCCCCGCGTTCTTAGCCTGCCTGCCTGCCGCGCGGTTCTCTTGTTAAAGGCCCGCCCGTCCTTATCGAAAATCGGCCAGAGGAAGCTCTATAAATTAACTGCACGATCGTATTTCTAATAAACTACCCGTGTAACGGTAAGTGAATGTGTGTGATTGTTAGGGGGGAAGAATACGTATTGGCCGTGTCCCGAATAGATAGAATTATAGGCGTACATTCAGGGCTATTGAAAGACGGTTTCTAGGACGGTGGTTTCGTGGAGTGATACAGTGTGGTTTGCGGGTGTGGCGGGCAAGAAAAGGGAGAAGACATCCGGGATTTAGAAGAAAACGATTTGTGCGGCAGATGACTACATCTTAAAGAAGGTGAACAACTGACGAGGGTCACGGTAGCTTCTATCCTAATCTATTATTTGAAAGGAGCCGTTTCTGCGATTGAAAAATCTGGCGCCTTTTCAATATTTGGTTTATTTCGAAAATAAAGATTTCATAATATATTCATTTAATTCAATTATTTGTGTAATATTATCCAAACTTATTGTAATGTACATTTCATCTTCAAAGGTTCTTGACAACGTCAAATCAACACTACAGACAACTCGTCATTTATGTTTTAAGTTATTGCTCAAGATTTCGAACCACAACTCTGTCCATCAGAATATTATTTTATTTGTTCATAACTCCAGTTTGAAAGTAACTCCTTTTGAAAGTAAGGGTGCTAAAAGAAAGACTGGCTAGTTTTCACACGTCTATTTAATGGTTCTGTATGTTTCGGAAACTTTTAATAGGTTATATGTATTTGAATTCTTATGGTATATGCATCTCTAAAATATTTTATGTAAAGTCAATTATCATAGTGACAGAATTATAGTGGGAATTGTATCGGCACATTGCCACTTTGAGAAGGATACCATCGGGGTGGCATCCTTGCTTGTGATTGTGTTGGAGGTGATTGCAGTGGTTTCTTGTGGCAGCTGAAACTGCCGAGGGACAGATTGAAGTGCACATAAATTGGCTTTGCACCAACAAAGACCTAAACGAAGCGGAGACATTCACGAGGTGAATGCGGGGGGCCGTGATCGTTGGAAGAAATGGCACCCTGCCCACAGCCTGCTGTCTCGGTAAAATGACAAACATGGAGTTACTCTCAGAACACAATATTGTGATTGTCTGTTTTGCTGAATTTTCATTTGTATTCTCATTGGGCTAATCCAAAGAAAGTTGATTAGTGAGAAATAAACAAAAAATGTTCTGCTCAGTCAGGAGATATTTATTTTTCTGTTTTATTGACCCAACTCTCTACTATTTTTGAGTGGGTTGCCATTAGATCGTTTAGTGTATATAATTTGAAACACTATTTATTCACTTTTGTTTCTTGGAAATACTTTATAGAAACATTATCATGCATTTTCATTGCACCAATTTTCTTCAGGTGGCTAAGGTTCCTGAACCCTCAATTCAGCTCGAGGAGCAAATTATTACTCGTTAAGAATTGTATACGGAATTCTGTGGTTTCAGTAAACTAGAACGCTCTAGATATAACTAGTGATATGTAATTATTTTTGAATGTATACATAACTGCTTTATTCTTGGTTACGTGATGCCATGAAATCACGGAGAAAACAAACACGACAAAGCCCCCTCGTTAAGGATTTGAGCAAAGAATAAGCGGCAGATCGCGGCGAAAAAACGGGCAGAAGCCGCGGCGGCGGCGCCGTGGGTGACCGCAGACAAGGGAAAAAGCATCGGTGGCGACGGCGGCGGCGGCGGCGCCCCCAACGAGCGCAGGCAACGAGGCGGCGCCACGACGCCCACCGACGCAGCGGGGCGCCCTGCACCTAGCCCCCTCGGGGTTCGCCCCCCTCCGCGGAGGCCTGGAGGTCGCGGGGTTCAAGGTCCCCAGTCTA